TGTTTATTTTCTTGAATTCAAGCTGGTATGCTTTAAAGGTCATCTGCTTACCCATTTATCATTCAGTTCCTCCATGCCAATGGATGGGGGTCCCCTCCACTATCTAGAGCCCTTTGTTTTAAAGGAATTCAAACAAATCTCTTATGTTAGTTGTAGATTGCATTTCTTAATTCCTCAATACTCAATTACCTAATGAGTCTCCATTATTGTGGGATCACACTTTTAATTCTTGATAAACTACAAACTTCAGGTTGTCTGTTCCCAGTCTGATCAGACTGCCTCTTATAGATATCTGCCACTGTGAGATTGTACTGAACTTCCTGTATTTTACTTTGTAAGCTTATTTATTCTATCGGTTACCTTGAATTTCTTCTCAGAGCTACCATTGTCCTAACTTATGATCTCATTTTAATTCTGAATTCAGCGAGCTTACTTGATTCCTGCACCTAAATATCTTTTCTGCCATATTTATGCCAACTAAAAATCCACAGGCTGTGATCTTGTGCCACCTCTGGCCATGGGCTGTCCCTACACCTAGTCCTTCAGGAAGGAGGTCAATGACCTTCTCCACTCCGCCTGTGTAAGTGCCACTGCCTTCTTTCCGATGTCTCGCCCTCACTCTACCGAACGCACTTCCCACGAAGGCTGTACCGCTCTCACGATTGCCTGCCACACCTTCCCTCACTTGCTCTCACCCAGCCCAACACTCAACATTTCCAACCCTGCATGCCCTCTGCACTGCCTCTTCACTCAGTCAGGACCCTCCCCAATTGCACTAACAGTAATAGCTGTTACCCACTTTCATTTCCCCTAATACCTACCTCTCTCTCATTCCAAGAGCAAAACAGCTACCAATAGGGCAGAAAAATGGGTGTGGGCAGCTCAATATTCAGCACCACACCCTTTATGGGGAATGAACACTGAGTCTGATCATCCAAGTGGCTAAGTGATTTTGTATAAGCCCCTGGACTGGTCATAGAATCTTAGAGCATATAAACAGGCCCTTTGGCTCACCATGGCTATAGCAACTAACAAACAGCAAACCACACCAATCCCTGCACTCAACTGGCTGCTGTGCCTTGGCATTTTAAGTGCTTATCCAGATATCCAGATGCTTCTTAAATGTTGTGAGATGCCTCCAGCCATCCTCTCAAGCAGCATGTTCCATATTTCTACCACCCTCTGGGTGAAATTTATTTTCTCAGATCCCCTCTAAACCACTTATTCTTCACCTTAAATTATATCCTCTGACCTTAGACACATCTGCCATGGGGAAAAGATTCTCACGATCTACCCATCTACGTCTCTCAAAATTTTGTACACCTCAATCTCCCTCACCCTCCTCTGCTCCAGGGAAAACAAACCCAGCTTATCCAAGTCTCGCCTCATAACTGAGAGCTTTCTTCCCACGCAACATCCTGGTGATATTCCTCTGCACCCTGCACAGTGCAATCACATCCTTCTGATAATGTGATGACCAGAAGGGAACACACTGTTCCTTCTGTGGCCTGAGCAGTGTTTTATAAAGTTGTAACACAATTTCCTTGCTCCTATATTCTGCGTCCTGGCTAATAAAGGCAAGCATCCTATATGCATTCTTCACTACCCTGTGTACTTGTGCTGACACCTTCAGGGATTTGTGGACTTGAACACCAAGGTCCTTTTGATCTTCAGTACTCCCTAGGGACCTATCATTCATTGTGTATATCCTTACCTTATTACACCTCCCAAAATGCATTACATATATTGCATACCATCCCCACGTGTCCAATGTGACTAGGCATCAAATTTTCCCACCTCTCTCTCTGCATACTGAGTAGCACAATCTATCACTATTCTGACAGTGATCAAGTATTTTAGTTGAGGAAGGGGAAGAATATTGAACAAGGGCTTTAAACTAAATAGGATCTGCTGGCCCATGTGCTTCAGTTTCACTGTTAAACACCAGCTAAACCACCAATCAACCTTTCCGTAATCAGATTCAATATTCATAATGGCCGTTAGTTCTGAACACATGAAACTTGATGTGAAAACAATTATGTAAATCAAAGGACAAACGGGAGAGACTTTATTGAAAGATCTTTAGAAAAACATGGATTGTTCCAAACGATGTCCTTTCCGTCCCTTTAAGAATGGGATTAGGAAGAAACAAGGAGCAGGAATAGGCCATTTGGTCCTTTGAGCCTGCTCCACCATTTAATAAGATCATGTCTGACTTGATTGTCAATTTGAGTTCACTTTCCCACTTGCCCTGATAACCTTTCGCTTCCTAGCCCATCAAGGATCTATTCCTTTCTGCCTTAAAAATATTCAAGGGCTCAGCTTCCACCACTTTTTCAGGAGCAAGGTTCCTAAGATTCACAACCATGTGATTTTTAAATAGTGACCCCCAATTCCTGATTCTCCAAAAAAGGAAACGTTGTCTCCACAACTACCCTGTTCAGACCCCTCAGGCATCTTACATTTTCCAATCAAGTTGCCTCTTACTCTTCTATTCAAGCAGATACAAACCTGGACTCACTAAGCTTTCTTTGTTAAACAACACCTTTCCATACCAGATATTGGTCTGGTAAACTTTCTCTGAACTGGTTTCAATACTTTAGATCCTGAACACAGTACTTCAGATGGTGTCTCATCAGTGACAGTATAACGTAAGAGATCATAGAATCCCTACAGTGTGGAAGCAGGACCTTCGGCCCAACAAGTCCACACCGACCCTCAGAGCATCCCACCCAGACCCATTCCCTTAAAACCCACCTAATCTACACATCCCTGAACACTATGGGGCAATCTAGCATGGCCAATCCACCCTAACCTGCACATCTTTGGACTGTGGGTGGAAACCAGACCACCCAGAGGAAACCCACACAGACACGGGGAGAATGTGCAAACTCCACACAGACAGTCACCCGAGGGTGGAATCGCACCCGGGTTCCTGTGCTGCGAGGCAGCGGTGCTAACCACTGAGCCACCATGCCACCCTAATTGGTATTGGACGTTATTGACTTACTATGCCTGGAACCCCTGAGCAAACGCTTGACTTGACTGAGGACTGCTGAGAACCATGATGAACTTCCTAGCTGTGTGTCCATGCTAAATACCATGGCAATACAGCTGTAGTATTAGGCTGGTCTTTCTTGCTGAGGGGCAAGGTGCCAAAAGGTAAATCAATGGCTAATGCTGTGAGCACCCAAGCTGTGAGTGCTAAGACAGTAAGCAGATAGACGGGAGATGTGTAGACAATAAGGACTGCAGATGCTGGAAGCCAGAGTATACAAGTGTGAGGCTGGAAAAGCACAGTAGGTGAGACAGCATCTGAGGAGCAGGATAGGCAATGTTTCGGGCTGCAACCCTTTGTCAGGAGTGGAGAGGGGAGCCCAGAAATAAATAAAGGGAGGGGGGTGGGGCTGGGGGAAGAGTAGGAAAAATGGCGATAGGTGAATGCAGGTAGGGTGTTATTGTGATTGTGCAACACCTGCCCCCACACTCCCCTCTCACCTCCATCCAAGCCCCCAAATAATTCTTCCAGATCGGCAGAGGTTCACCTGTACTTCATTCAACCTTTTCTATTACATCCGTTGCTCCCGCTGTGGTCTTCTCTATATCGGTGAGGCCAAACCCAGTCTTGGGGACCAATTCATGGAGCATCTGCACGCTGTATGTATCAACCAACCAACTTTCCGGTTGCCATCCATTTTAATTCCCTCTCCCACTCCCCTGGTGACATGTCCATCCATGGTTTCCTCCACTGTCAGAGTGAAGCCAAACGTAAACTGCAGGAACAACACTTGATATTTCACCTTGGATGCTTACAGCCCAATGGCCTTAACATTGACTTTACCAGCTTCAAAATCTCTCCACCCACAGCTTTATCCAATGTCGAGCCCTCCCCCTCCTGACCTGACCTAACCTGTCCATCTTCCTCCTTACCTGTCCGCTCCACCCTTCCCACAGACCAATCACAGTAATCCCCATCCACCTATCACCATCCCTCCTACCCTTCCCCCGGCTAAGCTCCCCTCCCCCTCCCCAGGCCTGACGAAGCATTACAGCCTGAAACGTTGACTTTCCTGCTCCTCTGATGCTGTTTGACCTGCTGTGCTTTTCCAGCCTCACACCTATAGACCGGAGATGCAGCCTGTTGCAGTCCATGAGCTGGGTGCATGTTCGTGAGCACACCGTCCTTGTTATAGTGTTACAATGATAGTTGCCTTTGCACCCTGAGGTGCAACTTTAAAGCTCAGACACATACTGTAGGTGGATCAGAGATGTGCAGTGAGGATTCTTAGAGCTGGCACATATCAGATGCCAATGTCCCTAGACTTGGGATGCATGTGGCTGGTGCCCATGGAGTATGCCTTGAGATGTTAGTGCCTGATGCCTAAACTAGCGGTCCCTCAGAGCAAGCAGCAAGCTGAAATCACTTGGTACCTGCTCTGACATGCATGTCAAGAATTCTCAGCATCCAGTTTCCTTACAGCCAGTGGTACGATAGAAAGCTGCATATTAATGAGGTGACCTGCTGTAAATAAGGTCATCACCAACCAATAATCACCCTTTAATAGGCAACTGACCGCTCCTTAGTAAGAATCTCACTTCAACGCCCTGAAGTTATTTAAAAAGTGCAGCAAATTGTTCCTGACATCTAGTTAGGCCTCACTGAACTTCTCACATAATTCTGCCACATTTCGGACCAAAGCTCACGTCATTCAAGCCCCTATAGGTTTCCACCCAACATAATGATGTATTTGAATAGAAAAACAAAATGTGTAGGATTATGGAAACTAGACCAATGAGTGGAACTGGTTGGAAAGCTCCTTCAAAGAGCCACTGAAACGAAACAAAGAACTGCGAGTGTGGGAAATGTGAAACAAAATAGAAATTGCTGGAAGAAATCTCAGGTCTGGGAAGCATTTGTGGGAAGAAAATGGTTAACATTTTGATTCCTCATTCTGGCTTATATTCCTCAGTACAAAATGTTTTGTCTTTTTTCCAATCAGTTAACCCGTGCAAAAATGAAGGTTTCTTGGATGTTGATAAATGTATTTGCCAAAGACCCTATGAAGGACAGTACTGTGAATTATTAGCCAATTCTGTCCCTGGTAAGTTGCATTTGCTTTATAACTTATATGATTATTGATTTACATGTTGATAGTGGGGGATTCAGTGATGGTAATACCATTGAATATCAGGGTCAGTGGTTAGATTACCTTTTATTGGAAATGGTCATTGCCAGGCATTTATATGGCACAAATGCACTTGCCACATTTCAGCCCAAGCCTGGATATTGATGCATTTGAACTGGCCTGCTTCAGTATTTGAGGAGTGCTGCTGAATATTGTGCAATCAGCAGAAAAGATTCTCACTTCTGACTGTAAGATGGAGGGAAGGTCATAAGATAATGGCTGCTCTGCTCATGACTTCAACCACACTTTCCCGCCTGTTCCCCACCCTTCGACACTCACATCTGTGGAAGTTACTGCAGAGGGGTGTCAAGGTTGGGTCATTGAGTATGATCAAGGCTGAGATAGATTGATATTTAATCAGAAAGAGAATCAAGGTTTATGCAGTAAAGGCAGGAAAGTGGAATTGAGGATGATTAGATCAGCTATAATCTCATTGAATGACGGAGAAGACTTAATGGGCTGGATGGTCTATTTCTGATCCTACTTGTTATGGTCTTATGGGTTTTATAGATCAAAATGTTTGTTTGTTTTTGCATTTCCCTAAAAAAGACACATAGGCTCAATTTTTCTCTAGGAGACACGAATTGGAACTTCAGTTGCATTTACACCTCACTCCCCTGTGCTTTAATTGGCCTCAGGTTGGCCATATCCCCTGCCAATCCTCCACCTCCTATTCTTACCTTCCCTGCCCCAACACCTTATCCACTTTATACAATATGAACTTACAAGTCGAAGATAAAAACTGAACTGCATCCAACCACACATAAATCCCCCAAATAAACAATCTGATCTCAAAAGATGCCTCAACTGAAAACTGTTGAAAGCACTTAAAAAATTATATACCTTTTAAAACTCTTCCCACCTCCATGCAGCTGGTGTAAAACCGCACTGCTACTAAACCCTGTTCATCTTGCATAAAATCAGCAAACCTTCCAGAGACTGGCCTTTAATGAGCCTGCCACAATGTGAAATATCTTGTTTATGAAAATAGGTCACTTTGGAGCTCACATCTTCACCTGCCGTCAGAAAACAGACAGAGAGCATAAATTGTAGGTGGAATATCCAACCACATTGCTTTTAAGGCCATTTTTGTGCTATCAGGCTTCTGTTAAATTTGAGCCCTAAGGTACAGCTTATTGTTACAAATGCGAATAAGGTACTAACACACATTGCAATATATTACAGGAAACGTGACTTATGCCATCAGAGTGACAGTGAAAATAGAGAACAGAAATTATACCATTGAAATGGCAAACAGATCATCTGAAACATTCATGGAATTTTCAAAGGAGTTTAACAAACAGGTTGGAAACTTTCAATATAATTGCATTGCCAGGCAACTATTAGAACTGTTTTGAAAACGTTATAAATGTGATGACAATGATCTTGGTGAATTTAAATTAGGATTTTCTCCCCTTAAGCCTGATACAGTGAGATATTGCTACTTTTTCCTCTTTACCTTTGTCTCAATAGGCCAAAGGGGGTGTCCCTTTCAGCAGTTATCAGTGTCTACACATTTCATAATAAGTCACATGATAAAGAGGTCATTCCCTTTACTCTTTTATTCCCATTTGGAACATCATGCCTGTACCTTCTCTTTGAAAAGACTTATCTCTCAAATCCCAAATTCTTCATCATTTTCTATAGAAACAGCATACTTGAGTACTTTGAGTAGAACTGTAACCGTTTCCTTCACCTGTCTTTCTCTGCCTCTTTCGCACAGGTATGCAGGAATATGCTTATCCACAAATCTTTTTATCTTTTTCAGATGCAATATGTTTATGGACATATTCGAGGTTATCAAACAGTTGAGATCACAATGACAAGGTAGGAATCTCAGAACAGAATTCCCAGTTCTGATAAATTTATATTATGTATGATAAAAATGACATGGGGTATTCATGCTCATTGAAATTTGTGCAGATATGCAAATAAGTGCTCTGTGATGGATGACGAGAAAGCTTTAGGTAAAGGAGGACATCAAAGTTGCCCCCTGTTGAGTTCAAATGGAGAAGTAACTGGAAAAGAGATTGAACTAAAAGCAAGTTTAAAGAATCATACCTAGACTTGAGCTCAGGATTTGCCTATTTATATCAGTTCTTCAAGAGCTAAAGGCACAAGGCAGATGAAATTCAGCTCCATTGAATATATCTGTTGGATCTTGCCTCAGTGTAACAAAGCTGCACCTAACATTGAACATAATTTTTTGCTTTCTTTTCTGTTCCATCATGTTTTAAGCCAGGGCAGTATCATTACCGATCACAAAGCTATTTTCAACGATGAAGCAGAGAGGTTCGATGACAGCATGATAAAAGAAACAGTGAAAGATATCAAAGACAGCTTACAATTCAAGAATTGCACCAACAGTAATGATTCACGTAAGAAAGTGATTCCATTCTCAATTACACTCAGCAGTGAAGTCGCACAGACACACGAACCCCTCATCTGAAATGCCTTTGTGGGGTGTGTGATTCTGTTGGACACTGATTTAAAGCCATCCTTCCTCCTAAGCAGCAGTGATTTCTAATAAATCTCCAACCAGACCCTATGCTACACTGAGATAACAAGGTGTAGAGCTGGATGAACACAGCAGGCCAAGCAGCATCAGAGGAGCAGGAAGGCTGACGTTTCGGGCCTAGACCCTTCTTCAGAAATGGGGGAGGGGAAGGGGGTTCTGAAATAAATAGGGAGAGAGGGGGAGGTGGATAGAAGATGGATAGAGGAGGAGATAGGTGGAGAGGAGACAGACAGGTCAAAGAGGCGGGGATGGAGCCAGTAAAGGTGAGTGTAGGCGGGGAGTTAGGGAGGGGATAGGTCAGTCCAGGGAGGAAGGACAGGTCAAGGGGGCGGGATGAGGTTAGTAGGTAGGAGATGGGGGTGGGGCTTGAGGTGGGAGGAGGGGATAGGTGGGAGGAAGGACAGGTTAGGGAGGCGGGGATGAGCTGGGCTGGTTTTGGGATGCAGTAGGGGGAGGGGAGATTTTGAAGCTTGTGAAGTCCACATTGATACCATTGGGCTGCAGGGTTCCCAAGCGAAATATGAGGTGCTGTTTGATGTGGAAGGTCTTCTTGGGGCCTGGGATGGGGGTGAGGGAGGTGGTGTAGGGGCAGGTGTAGCATTTCCTGCGGTTGCAGGGAAAAGTGCCGGGTGTGGTGGAGCTGGAGGCGAGTGTGGAGCGGACAAGGGAGTCACGGAGAGAGTGGTCCCTCCGGAAAGCAGATAAGGCTACACTGACATTGTTTTAGCCACACATAGCAGTCGATCTTTAAAACCTCCAAATGTCTCTCCAGAAGTGGGGAGTCAACTCATATGCAAAGTATAAAAGTGAAGTATTGGTGGTCACCATCTTTACCATTCTCCATAGGGAGTTAGCTCTGTGTGTGGGGCATGTCTTAAACTCCTGCATATTATTGCAGCACAGCCTGTATCGCCTGCTTACACCCTGATCCCTTACACCCAGTTAGAAAATACTGATCAATAAAACATTCATCTGTGGCGTGAAAAATTGAGTTGTTAATGTCAGAATAGTGTGTTGTGGCTGGAAAAGCCAGTGGTGGTGGTGGTGCTGGGTACGGAATATGCAAAACCAGGAATTTTGGGACCAAGAAAATGAGGTCATCATAAATACCAGGTTGATGCACACAGGTCACACAAGCAATGCCAATTGTTGACTGTCTGCTTCAGAGAGAGTACTGTCACCTCCTTCTCAGAAGGTTGTGGGTTAAAATCTCACTCCAGTTTATAATCCAAGCTGAGATATGAGTTTAGCGACATGCAGCCCAGGTGAGGAAAGGGTATCAGGTTCCCCCATCACCGAAGGTTCTCAGTGAATCAGTTTGGTTTTATCACTCACCAGCTCACAATGATTCAATGTATGGTTGGATTTCAAACTGAGAATCTATGGGTTTCTAAACTTGTTCCACAATCACTGCACTTGACAAACTGCTCTCATTTATCATGGGTTCGCTTTCACCAACCCATTTTCTTTCTTTGAAATATGCTAGCCATCATTTTCATCTCCACCGACTGTCTGAAACTCTGATGGGAGGGGATCATTGGCCTGTTGATTTCAAAGAATGAGCAATCACCTCTGGTAAACATGTAAAGGATGACGAGAAATCTTTTGGATAGGAAGAACTGCAAATGCTGGAGTCAGAGATAACACAGCATGGAGCTGGAGGAACACAGCAGGCCAGGCAGCATCAGAGGAGCAGGAAAGTTGACATTTCGGGTCAGGACCCTTCTTCAGAAATCTTTGTTGTGTTAACAGCACCAATCTAAATGTGCATTAATGGGCGTTTCTGGCAAAACTAGCATTTAGTGTCCATCCCTATTTATGTTGAGTAGGCGGTGATACAGATGAGGGGCTTGTTTGTCCACTTCAAAGGGCAGTTATTACCACATAGGTATGGGTCAGGGGTGACAATGTAGGCTATACAGGTCTGGGTGATAGGATTGCTTCTCTAGACGGTGAACCTGCTGGATTTTTACAATCCAACAGATTCATGGTCACTTTTAATGATACTAAAGCTTCTGATTCCATTCAAATTCTCAAATTTCCACAGTAGGAGTTGATTTCACAGTCCTCCAATTTAGAAGCCAGCAACATAATCACTGCACTATTATTTTGTTTCATTTGAGAATACAATTTCAATATTTTACTCATGTTGCCGTCCTGATATGTACAATTATTAATTTAAAGATTATTGAAAGCTTCTCCCATGCATATCTTTTTGATTGTGAACTAATTCACATTTCAGAACAGTGTTCAGGACTTCAGCTCGCGCCGAATTACAAAAATGTATCGTACACAAATCAAGATGTGACTGGTGAGTTTTACATTCTCAAGACTTTTATAAACTGGGCAACAACTAAGAGCTTAAGGCTTCGTATAATGATGTTGCAAACATTTAAAACATTTTACACACTTTGTCTGAATGGTTAACCATACAGTTGCAACCATTCCAATATTGATCCTACAATTATTGGTTCTTCAATTATTGATCCTATAATTATTGATATATTATAAATAAGTTCCTTATTTTCATGGGAAGAAATGTGTTGTTGCGTAGTTCATTCTGCTCAGTGAATTTATCAAATTAACTACGATTGATGGAGAGTGGCGGGAGACAATGCACTCTCTAATTTTTCCATGTTGAGCACAACTTATTTAGTTCACTGCACACACATGCAGGATAGTTTTGTGGGAGCCTGTATGTGCACCATAAAGGCACCATTGATTGTGTTTGGAGTTGATTATTGTGTTCCATCACACAATTAAATTACTGCAGGATCATACAGTCTTGCAACTCAGAGAAAACATTTGTGGGATGTAAGAGATACATTGGCAAAGTCATGATTTTGTTATCCACTAATTGTTCAACAGTTGATTGCTCCACATCCGTCAAAGACAATTTCAAGGACGAGTTTACAGCCGTAAATACAACTTCGGGCTGGATCTGTGTGTCAAGATGTCACAGTGGCCATAAAGATCACTTGAGGTGCCAATACGGGAAATGTGAGCTCACAGAGAAAGGCCCCAAATGCTTGTAAGATTCAATTGGTATTCTTGTGTTTAATTCAAAGTGGTTAACCTAGTGAGGTCTAGATCTGCTGAACAAGCAGAATTGCCTTGCGGTCTCCATATTTAAGGATTAATCTCCTGAGCAGTGCTACAAACAAACCAGCAATAAAAATCACTTTGAAATTACAAAGAACTATGCGCTTTTTGTTAGTTTTATTGAATGCTAATAACTAGTAGCACTATTGTTACTAGTTTTAAAAATGCTGGGATACAGAAAAATTGCTGTATGGGTGGGGAGGTTGGACATTATATAATGAAACTTCTAGGACTATGTCCAGCCAAGTTGGCAACTCCAATGAAGGGCCCTAATCAAGGAGTGGGACCGCAAAAATGTAGCCTGCAATTTCTTTATGCGATGCTGTAACTATCGATCTGTATTTGGTAATTACCTTGCATGATGTATCTGACAAATATGATGACGTTCTTGATAAAACTAAAACTTAAATAGATCAGCACAGAACTGTGACCTCTCTTCCAAAGCTTGGATCTAAGGAAGACTGATGGAATAGAACATAGAACAGTACAGCACAGTACAGGCCCTTCGGCCCATAATGTTGTGCCGAACTTTTACCCTAAACCTAAGGTCTATCTAACCTCCACCCCTACCTTATATTATCATCCATATGCCTATCTAATAGCCGCTTAAATGCCCCTAATGAGGCCGATTCCACTACCCTCTCCAGCAATGCATTCCACGCCCCTACCACTCTCTGAGTAAAGAACCTACCTCTGACGTCGCCCTTATAGCTACCTCCGCTCACTTTAAAACTATGCCTCCTCGTAATAGCTACCTCCACCCTAGGAAAATGTCTCTGGCTGTCCACTCTATCTATACCTCTGATCATTTTGTACACCTCAATCAAGTCACCTCTCATCCTTCGTTTTTCTAAAGAGAAAAGCCCTAGCTCTCTCAACCTTTGCTCGTAAGATCTTCCCTCCATTCCAGGCAACATCCTGGTAAATCTCCTCTGCACCTTTTCCAACGCTTCCACATCTTTCCTGTAATGAGCCGACAAGAACTGGACACAATACTCCAGATGTGGCTGAACCCAGGGTTTTGCATAGCTGGAGCAAGACTTCACAGCTCTTGAACTCAATCCCTCTATCAATGAAAGCTAACACACCATACGCCTTCTTAACAACTTTATCCACCTGGGTGGCAGCTTTTAGGGAACTGAGGACATGAACCCCAAGATCCCGCTGCTCCTCCACACTGCCAAGAATCTTTCTGTAAACCCTGTATTCTGCCTTTAAGTTTGTCCTTCCAAAATGAATCACTTCACACTTTTCAGGGTTAAACTCCATCTGCCACTTCTCAGCCCAGCTCTGCTTCCTATCAATATCCCTTTGTAACCTAGAACAGCCCTCCACACTATCCACAACTCGACCCACCTTCGTATCATCCGCGAACTTACTAACCCACCCTTCCACTCCTACATCCAAATCATTTACAAAAATCACCAATAGAAGAGGACCCAGAACAGATCCTTGTGGTACACCACTCATAACTGAGCACCATGTGGAATATTTTCTGTCCACTACCACCCTTTGTCTTCTAAGGGTCAGCCAATTCTGAATCCAATCTGCCACATTTCCCCCTATCCCATGCCTCCTTATTTTCTGCATGAGCCTACTATGGGGAACCTTATCAAACGCTTTACTTAAATCCATGTATACCACATCCACTGCTCTACCTTCATCCACGTGTTTGGCCACCTCTTCAAAGAATTCAGTAAGGTTTGTGAGGCATGATCTACCCCTCACAAATCCATGCTGACTATCACAAATCAAACTGTGCCTATCCGAGTGATCATAAATTCTATCTCTCAGAGCCCTTTCCAATAATTTGCCCACCACTGAAGTAAGACTAACTGGCCTGTAATTTCCGGGATTATCCCTATTCCCTTTTTTGAGCAAGGGAATGACGTTTGCCACCCTCCAATCTTCCGGCACTATACCCGTGGACAATGAGGACGACAAGATCATTGCCAAAGGCCCTGCGATCTCTTCCCTCGCTTCCCATTGAATCCTTGGATAAATCCCATCGGGGGATTTATCTATCTTCAAGTTCCTCAAAATTCCCAGTGCATCTTCCTTACTGACATCCACCTCCTCTAGCCTACCAGCCTGTTTCACACTGTCCTCCCCTACAATTAGGTCCCTCTCAGTTGTGAATACCGAAGAAAAGTATTCATTAAGGACCTCTCCTATCTTTTTAGGATCCGTGCACAAATTCCCTTTACTATCCTTGATCGGCTCTACCCTTACTCTGGTCATTCTCTTATTCCTCACGTACATGTAAAAAGCCTTGGAGTTTTCCTTGCTCCTATCTGCCAAGGTTTTCTCATGCCCCCTTATAGCTCTCCTAAGCCCTTTTTTCAGCTCTTTCCTGGCTAACTTGTATCCCTCTAGAGCCTTTACCGATCCTTGTTTCCTAAACCTTATATAAGCATCCTTCTTCCTCTTAACTAGTCGTTCGACCTCTCTCGAGAACCAAGGCTCCCTCACTCGACTGCATCTTCCCTGCCTGCTAGGGACAAACATATCGATCACACGCAGTATGCATTCCTTAAACAAACTCCACATTTCTACAGTGCTCTTCCCTGACAGCATCTATTCCCATTTTATGTTACCCAGTTCTTGCCTAACAGAACTATAATTACCCTTTTCTGATGAAGGGTCTAGGCCCGAAATGTCAGCCTCTCTGCTCCTATGATGCTGCTTGGCCTGCTGTGTTCATCCAGCCCTGCACCTTGTTGTCTATAATTACCCTTCCCCCAGTTATAAACCTTACCCTGCTATATGTACCTATCCTTTTCCATGACTATTGTAAAAGTAACAGAGTTATGATCGCTACCACCAATGCTCTCCTACCAACAGGTCTACCACTTGGCCCGGTTCATTGGCAAAGTGGCCTCTCCTCGTGTTGGTCTATCTACATACTGTGTCAGGAATCCTTCCTGAACACACTGGACAAAATCCGCTCCATCTAAACTATTACAACTAACAAGTTGCCAATCAATATTTGGAAAGTTGAAGTCACCCATGACTACAACCCTGTGACTTCTGCACCTTTCCAGTATCTGCCTCCCAATCCGCTCCCCTACTTCTCTGCAACTATTAGGGGGTCTGTAAAAAACCCCCAACAAAGTGACTGCTCCTTTCTTGTTCCTGACCTCAACCCAAACTGACTCTGTAAACATATCATTCTTGAATCGCCGTTCAGTAGCTGCTATACTAGCCCTGACTAGCAATGCCACTCCACCACCTCTTTTACCCCCCTCCCTATTTCTAAAATAGAAAGACTCTAAAATTTTATAATTAATTTATGACGTGTGGGTGCCAGTAGCTAGACCAGCATGTATTATTCAGAGGACAATTAAGAGTCAGCCACATTGCTGTTGGTCTGGAACCATATGTAGGCCAGACCAGGTGAAAATTGCAGATTTCTTTCCCTAAAGAGCATTGATAAATCAGAAGGGTTTTTAACAATAATCATCAACAATGACAACAAGAGCACCAATAGGCTAGCTTTTCATTGAATTCAAATTTCATCTACTGCAATGGGTTTTGAACTTATGTTCACAAAATGTGGGTGCTAATTCAGTGACATTACCAGCATGTCATCATCTCCTAAATGAAGTTCACTCTAAGGATCAAAGACTTCTTATCCTCCTCTACTACTCTGTTTGAAGCATTTAATGTCCATCCCCATTTTCCCTAACTAGATGGTGGTACAAATAATAGGCTTGCATGTCCTCTTCAAAGAGTCACTGCCAACCACGCTGAATGAAACTGGAATCTCATTTTGGTGGTATAGGTTCAGCATTCAGTACAATTGATTTTAAATTGGCAATTTTACTCACACATACCAAGGTGGTCGATGCATGAAATGGAGACATGCCACACAAGCCATAGATGTTACTGTTTTGAGATTAGAGATTTTCAGAATTGATGAAGCATTCCAGAACCAATTTTGCTCAGCACATTGGCTGTACATCTAACATAGTAGTGCTTGATGAGACAGTGCAGATGGAACTTTACTCTGTAACCAAATAATGTGAGGAGTGTTAGATGAGACAGTGCAGATAGAGCTTTACTAGGAGTATTCGATGGGGACAATAACAGGTGAAATTTTACTCTACATCTAATCTGCATATGCCCTGTGAGTGTTTGATAAGGTAGGGCAGAAGACGATTTACTCTAGATGTATATTTTAGTTCAGTAATTTAATTGTGCCTGACCATTTATTTTTTTGGTTTCAGTTGTAACACATCAAAGGACTACTGGTATATTGGGGAAAACTGCCAATTTCCGGTCCAAAAATTGGCTTTCATCATCGTGACAGTATTGGTGGTTCTCATAATCATAGTCACATTGATAGTGCTGATTGTGTATTGTACAAGATACCGACACATGGTCAAGCAAAACCATTTATCAAGGTACTTCAGTCATCACATCTAACATCTCCTCTTTGTGGCTCAATGTCTATGGAGTAATAATCCAGAGATTCTGCATTTAATTCCACAGTGGCAGTTTGAGACTCTGAACTCCATTTACCAAATCCGTAAATAAACAATTAGCTCCAGTTAAAGTGGCTGGAGAGTTGCTGGATTCTTGTAAAGACCCAAATAATCTATGAATACTTTTGGGAATTACCCCATTTGTTCAATGAGACTTCTCACACCATTGTAAGTAGTCTCTTAACCACCCCCAGATGTGTCCAAGTGATCAGGTCAAGGAACAGGTTCACCATGAGGGGGTCTTGTGGGCACAGCGGTAATGTCCCTACCTTTGGAGATCTAGGTTCAAATTCCACCTGTTCGTGAGGGGCATGTGATAACATTTCTGAACAGGTTAAGTAGAAGATGTGGGAGGAAAAAGAGAAGGCTCAAAATGAGCTCTCAGTGGATCAACAATAAAAATTCATGGATGTTCAATTACGTTTAAATTAAGAGAATTAAATTAATTGTGTAATTCCTAATCCCCTGTCCAAGTCTCCTCTGAGGACTGGACCCATAAGATGATGTTCAGTGTCACACCAAATCTGTACGTTCGCTGATACTAACACAGGTTGAAATGTTTCTAATCCAACAGGGAGAAGACCACAAATCAGATATTAAAATGGTGGGAGGAGGATAACTGGGAGTGGCCTGCATCCCAGGGTTTAACGTTGAGCAACCTTGCTGCTGCAGATATTTACAGTAAGATTCAATGCCTTTCCAGCTGTAAACTGTCGGGATGTGCCTGAAGTTAGAATGACGTGGCCAGCGAGGAAAGTCTGACGAATTGTCTCCAAGTGATAGTGAAAGGAACTTATTCTAAATTTAGCTTAACATTTTTTTAGACAGCCAAAGGTTAAAAGAAGCTCTCTCCCCTCCCTAACGCACCTCCAATCCCCATCCTGATGAACTGAAAGAATGCAAGATATCCAATGCTGAGAACCTACAGCACTCGGGGTTGCTTTGAGATATAGAGGCATAGGGTGTTGGGCTTTGAGATGATGTGGGATGTGGACAGTCAGGGTGCTGATGTTTTGTCATGCTGTGAGACACAGAGTAGCTGGGTTCCGGGACACTGTGGGACTTGGAGTTGGGTGTTACAGGTGATGTGAGGGCTGGTTTGCGGCATCTCACAGGGACCCCTTTCTGCAGAACACTGTCACTGCTATGGACCAGAAGCAGGTGTAGACTTTTCAATGATGTGAAGATCTAAAGAATTTATAACAGTTCTGTTCAAATACTCAGGTCTACCCAGATACTCAGAATTGAAGAGCCCAGGACAGAGGCCATGAATTCATCTTTCAGGGTAAGACTTTATTAGGTAATCTGACTGTTCATATTTCATGTCCCGGAATGGAAAAGAGCAGGACATTTGACTGTTGTCCTTTTATGATAGTCATGGTCAGCTGCTATCACATGTGACCTTAAAAACTAGGAGCAGGAGTAGGCAATTCAACCTCTTGAGCCTGCTCCACCATTTAATACAAACATGACTGATCTTATCCTCTCCTGCCTGCTCCCCACAGAGCTTCAACCTCTTACTAATTTAAAATGTTTATCTCCTTCTTAAATTTACTCAATGTCCCAGCATCCATCATCCTCTTGGGATAGCGAATTCTACAGATTCATGACCCTTTGACAGAAGTGGACAGTGTTGCTCCAGATGCATAGCTTAATATAAGGGAAGCATCATTCCACTCGCCCCCCTCCTTTGTCATCTATGTGCTTTCAGTTCATCAGTTGCCAGACAAAAAAAAACTGTTTTTATACTCAATCCAATTTTATGTTTTTATTCTTCAGATCAAAATGTTAAGGCTGCAGATGACAGAAGCACACACTGTTTAAATTCTACTGGTCTGATTAACACCTCACCTTCTCCACTCAGAAGCCATGCACTGGACTCACAAACAGAACTGATCTACAATAATCTGATTATGACATCATGTGTAATCATTTATTTTTTCCTTCGAGTTAATTCCATTAAAAGATCAAAGTTAATTATTTCTGGTTTTGTGCTTAAGGCCTAGAAGCTTGGATGAAGATCAGTGGGGTCAATTATCCTGTGTGTCAAGAGAACTTGTTACACCAGAGACTGACTGGGTAAAGGGAAGGGACATTCCTGCAACAGAACACGAGATGGTAATCAGGCTGGTAATCATGGCCCCTTTTGAATTCACCTTTTGTATCTCTCATGCTGGCTTGACTGAGCTGAACCCAGGCTGGCACTTACCTGTAAAAACGAAAGAACTGTGGATGCTGTAAATCAGGAACAAAAACAGAAGTTGCTGGAAAAACTCAGCAGGTCTGGCAGCATCAGATGCTGAGCTTTTCCAGCAACTTCTGTTTTTGGCACTTTCCTGTGTTGTGTGATGCAGCAGTAGATTGCAGCTTCCAAATATCAAGAAATTATAACTTAAACCTGAGGTTTCTGACCTCACCTCAGACTCGTTTTGTTAAGGAAAGGGTGTGAGATGGAGAGGAAAATGTGGTTACCTGTCATCAATATGGTTTTCTGCTATGTACGATTGTTATTTTGGCTATTTATTATTATGTCAATTAAATATGGATATTGCTAAACATTGCTGTGGTGATGTTAATGTAGCTGACTTGTGAAAATGTAAAAGAAATGGGATCAAGGAAAGAAACACTGATCCAAACTGCAGCCACCAACACCCCACCCCCAACCTCACTGCCAAATCTATATCGTATTACTCCATCCTCAGTGCAGCACTTCCCTCCCTCTTGTTGCTTTCATGCTCCCTTCTCCCTCCACACTTCGCTTCCCCAAACTCATGTCTCCTCCTCTCCTCACCCGATTTCTCTACCTCACAATGTCCCACCTCTTCCCTCCTCTTTCTCTCATTCCAGCCCTCAACCGCTCAAACCCTTTCTGACCGCACCCTGTCATTTTATTCTTCCTTCTGCTTACTTTAGGGCTATTCACTCTTTTTTTCTGTACTATACTTGGATTGGATTCCTTCAGGAATTGTTTGTAAAATTTAATTTTTGGATATTGACTGGAATGAAACAAGAGGTTTATGCAAAAGTAACCTCACATTGTTACGAAGTTTTGTCCAGTACATCTTAGTCCAATTATTAAGAGGCCTTCAAGACTGGAACCTCCTTCGGAATGAAAGCCTGTTTGCTGAAGGCTGGATGCAGCATGGTACTTGGGAGTGCTATCCTTGATTCCAGACAGAATCATAGAATCCCAACAGTGCAGAAAGGGGTCATTCAGTCCACCGTAGCTACACCAACCCTCCAAAGAGCACCCACCCTATCAGCATAGCCCCACATTTATTATGGCTAATCCACCTAGTCTACACATTCCTGGACAGTACGGGGCAATTTAGTAAAGTCAATCCACCCTAACCTGCATATCTTTGGAATGTGGGAGGAAACCGGAGCACCCGGACGAAACCCAGGTAGACACGGGAAGAATGTGCAAACTCCAAAGGGACAGTCACCCTAGGCTGGGATCGAACCCAGGAGCTAACCATTGAACCACCATAGATAGATAGTTCAAGACATTGCAAAGATGATGCACAGAAGAGTTAGCATCAAAACCTGAGAACTCTGTGAAAGTTTCTCCTGCTTTATTGACAATGCCAAAACAAGTGCAGCCAGCAATCAGTTCGTGATATTGCCTGTGCAGTGTTATAGTATCATAATGTTACAAAGAAATCACTCAGTCAATCTGTGATGATTTTTACAAAGAGCAATTAGTCCGACTCCCTTCTCTTTCTTTATGGCCCTACACATTTTCTATTTAAAATTGTTATGATCCCATAATATTAATATTGGAAAAGTTAAATCCCTGGCTAGATGGACTGTAAATTCATGTTTTTTTATAATCATCCATAAGATGCAAGCTTTACTGGCTGGGCTAGAATTTATTGCCCATCCCTAATTGCCCACTGAGCATTAAAGATCGACCATATTGCTGTGGGTCTGGAGTCATGTGTAGGTCAGACCAGATAAGGATGACAGATTTCCTACCTCATTGACATCTACCCCAACATGTGGAAAATTGGTCAACAACGTAATGTACACAAAAAGGACAAATCCAACCCAGCCAATTAACATCCAATGGGTCTACCCTCCGTCATCAGAAAAATGATGGAATGCGTCATCAACAGTACTATCAAGCAACACATGCTAAGCAATAACCAGTTCCGTAACACTCACTTTGGGTTCCATTCAGGCCACTCAGCATCTGACCTAATTACAGCCTTTGTACAAACATGGACAAAAGAGCTGAATTCCAGAGGTGAAGTGAGAATGATAGCCCTTGAAATCAAGGCCACATTTGCCTGATTCAACATCAAGGATGGACATGTCCTGGGCCTCCTGCAGTGCCACAACGATGCCACCCGAAGGTTGCAGGAACAGCAACTCATATTCCGCTTGGGAACCCTGCAGCCCAATGGTATCAATGTGGATTTCACGTTTCAAAATCTCCCCTCCCCCTACCGCATCCCAAAACCAGTCCAGCTCGTCCCCGCCTCCCTAACCTGTTCTTCCTCCCACCTATCCCCTCCTCCCACCTCAAGCCGCACCTCCATCTCCTACCGACCAACCTCATCCCGCCCCCTTGACCTGTCTGTCCTCCCTGGACTGACCTATCCCCTTCCTAACTCCCTACCTACACTCACCTTTACTGGCTCTATCCCCGCCTCCTCTCCACCTATCCTCTCCTCTATCCCTCTTCTATCCGCCTCCCACTCTCTCCCTATTTATTTCAGAACCCCCTTCCCTCCCCCTTTTCTGATGAAGGGTCTAGGCCCGAAACGTCAGCCTCTCTGCTCCTATGATGCTGCTTGGCCTGCTGTGTTCATCCAGCCCTGCGCCTTGTTGTCTCGGATTCTCCAGCATCTGCAGTTCCTACTATTCCTAAGAATGTATTTTTTTTAAAGTAAATACCCTCCATTTCCCTGTCAGCAATATTGATCTCAAACCCAATGTGAGTGCAGGAAATCCACTTTCTCGCCTGGATCCTTAGATGTAACATACATAAAGTGAAGTTTGTTCGCTCAGGACAGCCACAGAGTATCTCACCACTCAGGGTTTTCTTTAGTCTATAGTTAATGTTTGCATTGTTCAATGGTGCTTCTCAACTTGGCTATGGGCCAAGTGTTGGAAAGTGGGATTGGTGTAGACAGGTGATGGGTTTATTATTATTGGTGCAGACTTAGTAGGCCAAAGAACCTCTTCAGTACTATATGATTCTATGACTGTTTTACAGATGCAGTTCTGGAATCTCTAAAAATTATTGCCAAGTTGTCAGATGTGGAAATAAAAACTGACCAAATGGCCACTGTTTGAGCTTTTATTCTGTATCTATACCATGCTGTATCTATCCTGAGAGTGTTTGATGGGACAGGAAGGACATGACTTTATATCTGTCCTGTGCTCTACTTGCCCTGGGAGTGTTTGACTGGGTAGTGGCAGCTTTAATTGACACAACATCTCTCACCTTGTGAGAATAAATGAATAAATGTGTAAAGTCGCTATTGTCCATTGAGAGAAGACTGGTATGGAATTTAACCTAAGGGTCACCACGCCTCACGTGAGGGACAAGGTTGAGTGGTGACCTCAGAAAGAATGCTGCACAAACACACAATTTTTCAATAATACATCAGCCTTAGTTACTAATCTTCCTGGAATATACGTGATCAAAGTTTGCTTCCAAGAAACTATGATTTATACTACTTCTTTGTGTTCAAATGGACCTTACACTCATGAATAATCATTCACCAAGCCACATAATATGATGTGAGCAACTTTCCAATCATATTGCAGCACTGGAATTTAATGTAACTTTGATGTGTGGTGCTTGGTGGTTAATAATGGCTTGAGGACTGTGTCAAACCTAAAGTTTTCCAATGGAAATAAAGACAAAACAAAACAGTGGAAGAAGGAAGATGTTGAGAGATGAAGTTAAGTATTAACTGCCACGGTAACATTCCAGGCCAGGCCATACTAATATATCATCAAGTCGTCTTTTTCTAGGTGATGAATGTCGGTCAAAGTTGGATTATTTTACAATCTTTGAACTTCCAACTGAATCAACAGAATTAAATGTATGCTTTAAACATGCAGTCAAAAATGCCTGACATTATGGCGCTGGTAACTCAGAGAGCAAAAGTTTGTTAAGTGGGTTGTTTTTGTTAAGACAGACCTGAGTATCTGATTGGCTTGGCATTGTTGGCATTGGAGGACATACTCGTGAAAGAGCAGATGCACGATCCAAGTTGAGTAGGAAACGCTAATGGCGAAACAAAAATCTTACCCTCATGAACCGCCATACACATATCTCAACTATAACACTTCAACGAGGAGAGATCGAGGGGAGTGGACCCACACTCTCTGGGAATTAGAAGAATGAGAGGTGATATAATTGAAACATAGAATATTCTGAGAAGGTTTCAAAGGACAGATGGTGAGAAGCTGTTTCTCCTGGCTGGAAAGTTTAAAGTTCTAGGGTATAGTCCTAAAAAAACATAAGGGCTATTCTACACTGAGGAGAAGCTTCTTTATTCAGAGGGCTTAAGATTTGTTAACCTAGAACAGTGTGAATCCTAAGCCATTGAATATCATGAAGACTAAGATCAATAAATTTTTGGGCTCTAAGTAAACCAAGAAACAAAGGGACTAGTAGGGAAAATGGATTTGAGATCAAAACACAATCCTAACGGTAGAGCAAACTCATGGTCCCATATGGCCTCTTTCAGTCTGTATCTTATGTGCTTAACTGTAACACCTCTGTATTTTATATATAGATCTGATTGTAAACAATGGCAGTCCTTGAGATGAATGAGAGGTCAAAGTTCTACCGATAAACAAATCATTGAGATAAAATGTATAATATTTATGGCGATGAATTGAAACTTGGAAATGGACCAATATTCACCATTGTTATCTCTCAAGTTATCAACCACATAAACAAAAGGGACTTTGACCAAAGTAAATTTACAAGGGCTGCAATAATAATTCTAAAAAATAATGTATTAACATGGCAATGTTGGGCATATTTCGTATTTTCAGCCTCTTTAGGACAGAATGTGGCTCGGGGTAGCAAGCTCACCTTTATAATCATAAGGCTAGGAGTTCAAGTCCCAGTCCATAGGTATCAAACTAAAGCCCCATTTGCACCTTCAAGTGATCATAAATGATCACATGGCTCTATTTGGAGGGGAGGTGATAGTGCAGTGGTATTGATGCTGGGTTAGTAATCCAGAGACCCAAGTAATTCTCAGAATCCATGTTCACATCCCACCATGGCAGATTATAGAATTTGCATTCAATTAAAAAAAAGAAAATGTGGAATTAAAATTAATGATGACTATGAAATCACTGTCAATTGTTGTAAAAAACCCATCTGGATCACCAATGACGTTAAGGAAGGAAATCTGCTGTCCGAACCTGGTCTAGTCTACATGCAACTCCAAACCCAAAGCAAAGTGGTTAACTGAAATGGCCTATCAAGCTACTCAATTGTACCAAACTATTCATAAACCTTAAAAAAGGGAATGAAACTGGGTAAACCAACTGGGCATTGATTAAGTCAATGGAAG